TTTTTTTTTTTTTTTTTTTTTTTTTTTTTTTTTTTTCCAAACTGTCTTTTCACTGTCTGTTATTAACCTTCATGCATGTGCTATCACGATTAAGATCATAGGTGCTTAAGACCATAGGCTATAGTCAAGCTGATTGTTCTGAATCTTAGCTTCAGCACTTGTCAGCTGTGGGACCTTTGGAAAATTGGCACAGTCTCAGTCTGTGTCTGCAGAGTGAAGTAATAAGGCCATCCCAGAAGTAGGTGTGAGCTTAAATAACCTAGTAGCCCTGGAAAATCAGAACAGCATATCCTTTCTTTAATGCTTCCAAGATGATCGCTACGAGCCCATCAGAAAATGGACAGGTGCTTCATGTAATTCCATCTACCCAGACAGGAATGGCTCAAGTGATTATACCTCAGGAGCCGCTTGTGGATGTGACTAGTCCTCAAGGTGAGTCAGTATGGGATTTGTGCAGGGGGGTTGACAGTGCTCTAAAGATTATTCCCCAGGAAGTCCATCTTAAAAAGTTCATCTCTTTAGTGATATTGTGAATTGAGTAATTAGAAAGGTTTTTTAGCCCCAGTAAATCTTAAGTCCGCCTTTCAACTCCTGTCTAGGTTAGATGTCTGTTTCATTTTGGGATTCTGTGAATCTGGTTGACTCCTCCAGATAACCAATGAGCATAAACTAAAGTCTTCTTAATTATAGAAACAATAGAAATAGCAACAGTAGCACAAATATAGGACCTAGCTACAGAAGTTTTTTATATTTGTACTTTATGGATTCTTGCTAGCTCTGTGACCCATCCCTTTTGTAACTGTTACTTGGATCTCCTCCTCCTTCCCATTCAGAAAAGAGGATCAGACTTCCCATCCCCCACCTTTGCCTGTTTGATAATATTTCTAGTAATTTTCTTCCTTCCCTTTGCAATGTAGTTGAATCTCTTTTTAACATCATTGCTACACTGTTTTGTTGTTCTTTTTTTATACAAAGTAGTTTAAGATAGTTATTTTTACCTTGTTTTATGATTTATTGTCTTTATTAATAGTCATTAAAAGTTAAACTAAAAACATTATAAGCACAATGTAGAAGTAAATTTTTTGTTTTCATATTACATGGGAAACTCTTTAATATAACAATTATTTCAACTATTTTAAAATCATAGCTGTTAAATATAAGTATAAAAAGTTAACTACAGAATTTCATAGTCATTACACAATTTAAAAGTAAGTTTAGGGGTTGAGGATTTAGCTCAGTGGTAAGGCCCTGGGTTCAATCCTCAGCTCCAAAAAAAAAAAAAGTAAGTTTATCAGTGACAGTCTCAATAAATCATTTTAAGCCCCCCCCCCCAACTCACTTGGTAGCCCAGGCTGGCCTCGAACTCAGAGATCTGCCTGGCTCTGCCTCCTGAGTGCTGGGATTAAAGGTGTGCACTACCACCGCCCGGCTAAGTTTTGTTTTTTTAACTTCAGAACTATTCTTTTTCCTATTAAAATGATTTAATTCTAGTTAAGTAATCTTCATAGTGTTATTGAAGATACTGATGTTTCTTATATTTGTTGTTAAGATGCCTCTGAAGAGAAATCCACTGACAGAAGCTTACCAACTGTAAGAGCAGACACTCTAGAAGCCAGTACCAATGACTACATGCTTCGTTCTCAAGCATCCCTTGAGTTTCCCAAAAAGTCAGGGACCAGGTGAATCATGGGAAAGAGGAGCTTGTCTTTGGGGTCACAGTGGAAGTCTGTTTTTAAATGATCAGATCTGGCAGACAGTGGAAAAGATCAGAAGTTCAGAAAGAGGAAATGTTCATCACATACATCTTCATTAATTTCAGCACATCTTGACAAGCCAGTTTCCTGTCCTTTCAGAGAAATGTCCCTAAGGTTTTTAAATAGTTAGCCATATTTATATAGATATAATTCTTAGATGATAAAGTATTTAAAATGTTTTTGCTAGTATTTTGTGTGCGTGTATGTGCTGGTTCTGGGAAATGAGCAAAGGGTCTTGGACATGCTAGGCAAATATTTTCCACACAGCCACAAAAACACGGCCTGTTTTTTTTATTTTGTTTTTTCTTTGTTTTTAAAGTTTTTATTTATTTTATGTATATGAGTGCTGTATCAACATATACGATTATGCCAGAAGAGAGCATCAGATTCCACTATAGATGGTTGTGAGTCACCATGTGGTTGCTGGGAATAGAACTCAGGACCTCTGGAAGAGCAGCTGGTGCTCTCAACTGCTAATCCATCTTTCCAGTCCTGACACAGCCTACTTTTTGCTAACTTCTCCTTCGGTTTTACCTTTTTTTTCTTAAAAATAACGTGTTTCATGACAATTTTAGAAAAATATTTAAAGTATCTTTTTGTAACTTTTTTTTTATTCCATGTGTATGTCTGTGCATGTATGTCTGTATGAGGGTGTCTGACCCCCTGGAACTGGAGTTACAGACAGCTGTGAGCTGCTATGTGGTTGCTGGGAATTGAACCTGGGTCCTCTGGAAGAGCAGTCAGAGAGCTCTTAACTGCTGAGCCATCTCTCCAACCTCTCCCTTGATGTATCATTTTATGTGTTTATGTTCCTTTAATTGTTCTGTGAAAATATTTTAAAATAAGACAATATTCATATTGTGAGCCATTAGTTAGTTTTCAGAGCTAGACATCAATCCAGGGCCTCTTACATAGTAGACAAGGGACTAACACTTAGATAAACTCACAGCCCAAGACAATATTTATGTATTTTTCTTTACCAACTCCATCTGCATCTGAGATTTTTTTCATTGGAAGATTTCTGATTACTGCTTTGATCTCATTGGTTGTTATGGCTCTATTGAAATTATTTGCTTGGTTTAACTTTGGTAGTTCATATGTGTCTCAAATTCATCCTTTTCTTTTAGATTTTCCAGTTTAGTGGGACATGAATTTTTAAAGTATGTATGTCTTCATGATCCACTGGATGTCCTCAGTGTGTGTTGTAGTGTCTCCCTTTTCTTTTTTTTTTTTTTTTTAATTAATTCATAAGGAAGATGAATGAACTGAT